TCTATAGTGTGTGATATTTACTTACAGATGAGGCACCTCTAGGATCTCCCCCACAGAATCCCTGCAGGACAGGGACGTGTTTTATCCTAAGGTTCTCTGGGCAGATTAAACTGATTGTTGATGACAACAAATTGAACTGGCTGGGAAAATCCTTGTGTTGAGTGGAGAACAGAATCTGCGTGTTGTGAAGCTGCAAGTCCGGCACCCTCCCGGCGGCTGGCAAATCAGGGAGCCGCAAGACAGGAACAGGGACAGAGCTAGTTCCCCAACGAACCTATGCGCTGCAGCTACGTCAGGGAGGTGGGTGGGCCAGGCTTGTAATTGACAGCCGACTCAAGAGGCCTGTCAATTACAAACCATGAAGAGTAAGTTTGCGTGTCATCTGACAAGGGCTTGCAAGCCGGGCTGGGCACGCGTGCCGGGGGTTGCCGACCCCTGTCCTAGAGAATGGATACTAGATACCATCTCCTAGAGAATGGATACTAGATAGATACTCTCCAATGGACGCTCAAACAATCCTCCCCGTCTAGAACTGAACCAACACCTTATGTAGAGTAGGTTACAAGTACTCTCCAAGGGATCTCCTGGTGCATAACTAGCACCAGTGTCAGAAAGCTACAGACCCACATCCTGCTACTGGTGTGACCAGATATAACTATATCACAGACTTGTTCTTCTGACTAGGATTTTAGGGCTTTAATGATTTGGATTCTTTATTTAGGTTTATAGGAACGCTTACATATCTGTCCAATGCAAACAACACTTGTAGGACTTGACACTACACATCCACAGTCTAGGATTAGAACCAAGTGAATAGGACAGACATTTTTCTCCACATGTCAATCTCCAGCCTAAAAGCCAACAGAGGTTTTTGTTTTGCTCTTCATTTTTACTTAGCCAGTCTACAGCTGCAGTAACAAACGGGACTGTGATCATAACTATTCGGAGAAACAATTAATTCTCAATTGTCATGCTAATCTGCTGAGTGTATTGCAGCCGCCATTGCCTTTAATGATCCACACTTAATAAAGACACATCTGGTTGCTACAGTAACAAAATGGTGCTGCTCGCACTACAGAGGCGTTAGCGTCCTTGTTCTAGCTTAGGTGACAGTGGAAAGACATATTCTCAAAGTGTTTATAGCTTTACAAAACCAAGAAACTTTACACTGTCATTATCATTACTATAGCATCAACATATTGTGCAAACAGTCAGCATTTAAAGAGATCATTGCCTGAGATGGGCAACTGCAAATGCTCATTATGCCCATTGAGTCGCAAGCTATTCAGCTGTTATGTAAACAGGAGTTTCATGTATGGTCGCGTTCTGCTTGGACAAACTTCCATTTGCTGTTGGACAGACAGAGCTTGAACGTGGCAACTTTCACTACCTCTTTCGGTCTACATCTGCCAAAAATAACATTTTGGCATCAGAAAAGTTTTATAAACACATTGCCTTGATAAAATTAGACTGCCCGTAATTATTATATGGGTCAAAATGAACCTGTGAGGACAGAGATATTGAATCTGCTATTGCTTATCAGATATCAGATATATTTTTCATGGTAACTACATGTACAATAAGCAATGTGTAGGCGCAACACAGGTATTTATTACCCATCACAGAGATCACAGGTCCCATCGACCTCTAGACCATTCAAGGACAGAGTAGTGACATGGAGATCATGATGAGGAGCCACTGAGGGCAGCAAGGGACACAGAAGAGCAACACTCCCAGAGGTGTTGGTTACTGCTGAAGACTTCAGCCAACCATTACTCTTGAAAGGCGTTAACTATAGCAGCCTCTACTTTTCTACCTTCTGCACAAGGTTTTGAAGGACGGCTATGCAAATTCATGCTCATTCAACCAAAAGTTCAAATGCTGCATGTTGGGGAAGAATGCCTGGCTCACAATAGGCATTCAAATTAAACTCAATGGTGTTGAATAGGTTAAGTTTAGGCCTCTATTCAGGTTACTGGAGTTTCTCCACACCAAACCATATGTTAATGGAGCTACCTTAGTGCACAGGGGGGCATACATGCTGGAAGAGAAAAGTGCCTTAAAAGTAGAAACTATGAGGTGAGTGATTTCCACTCATCCTCATAGTTATAGCCGACCTGTGACAAAGAAGCGGTCACACGTCGACTCTATAGATTGGGAAGTGAGCAGAAACATGCACCGATCCACTCACTTCCCAATCGTCTCCCTGCATTGAATCACCACTCCCCGCAGGGATTCCCTCCTCCCCTCTCCGATCCTCCAGCACTGAGTGGAGGAACGAAAGGGGGGGGGGGCTGACACCACTGGCTCTGCCTCTAGATAGGCTGTCACTCACACAACTGGGTGGATCTCGACAGTATTGACAGTGGATCGCAGCCAATAGTCCTCTATATACTGAGCTTCGGGTCACAGAAGGAGGTTAGTATAAATCCTCCCGTGACCCTAAAGAGAACTATGGGGAAAAACACTTACCCCCATAGTTCTCTTTTAAGTTAGGCATTTATGTTTAGCTTTACATTGTTCCGCCCGCAGGCTGAACAAGAGGAAAATCACTTGTTTCCCCCATTCACACTAAACAGCATGGATGGAAGGACCTTCCCTCTCGCGTATTGTATTCAGGCAGCTGGCACTCATGGCTGTCTAAATACCCGAACAGCCACTGTATCTGATTGGATGACGTCACCATGCGGCCAAGGATCTTCCACTTGTACAATTTTTATGGATAAGGCCAGTTGGTGCCAACAGGGCTATCCATGGCTCATATTTTGTCCCATGTAGCAGGAATCAGCCAGAATTTTAGCCATGCATGGCTAACATTATGATTAGAGGTACACAACGGTTTAAAATGTCTTTGCATGCTGTAACATTGACAGTGCCCTTCACAGAAAACACATGAACTCAATACTATTAGAGGTGTTCACATACTTTTGGCCCTATAGTGTATGCAAGGCTACGGATGAGGAAGGTACAGAGAAAGGACATTGCATAAACCATAGAACATGATCACCTGAGTTCTACAGATATGATTTATAAACATACTGGTACCTATAGGAAGTAAGCTAGCAGGATAACAAGGGATGGAAGCTAAAGACCTGGATGTGATCTAGCGTCATTCAGGGAGTTTTCTTACACTTAATTTTAAATGTAAAACATGTATGTTGGTCTGGAGTATACCTTCAAACTTTATTATGTGTGAAAAAACTGCATATAAAAAACTCCCCCGTCTCTGATTAAATGGCTTTTTTTCCTATATTTATTTCTGTTTTAATTGAGCTGGGAAGAAAATTATGATTGCTCTCTGGGTTGCTACAAAGGACAGATAACCTGATCAGCTGCACAATGCTTTATTCTTCACATAGGCTCAAATAATTATCCCAACATCAATATTTCTGTGAAAGAGAAACTGTATGAATGCAACTTCATGAATATATAATCAACATGAAAGACCATAAGTTCCTGGAACTGTGCGTGGAGTGCACTATATGGAGAAAAACTGAAGAGTATAATAACAATGTATCAAATAAATAATGTGTTTAGAGCAGCCTTTCTCAACCTTTCTAACATGGAGGAACCCTTGAAATAATTTCAGGACTCGGGGAACCTCTGCTGATAAACACTGTAACTACAGCTCTTGGCACATTAGTGTAAGCAGTAAGTAGCGGAAGAAAATAAATAGAATGTGGCGTACTTAGTGTATTGGACACCCAGGGTTTATAGAGAAATATTTTCAGTAATAATAATAGAATGAAAATACTTCTTTCTATTTGTGCTCAGTAGGACAAAAGCCGATTACACTGGTGGTCAGTAGAAAGAATGCCCCTTGAAATGTCAGTGAAAAGAATGTCCCTTACATTCTTGGTCAAACGGAAGAATGTTCCTTAAAGGAGAACTATGAGGCGAGTGATTTATATACTCATGCTCATATTTAGAGCCGACGTGTGACATTGAAACTGTCACACGTCAGCTCTATTAATCGGGAAGTTAGCAAACGCATACCGTCACTCGATCATCTCCCCGCAGAGAGCGGTGACTGTCAGTCACAGCTCCCTGCATGGATTCCCTCCTACCCTCTCCGATCCCCCAGATAGGAAAAGCCCGCTGTCAATCAGCCAGCTGGGTGGATGTTAACAGTATTGTCAGGATTCATCCGGACTGTGGCGCTCTCAGTATATAGCGGGCAATAGCCCACTATATACTGAGCTTTGGGTGATGGGAGTATATGTCCTCCCGTGACACTAAAGAGAACTATGAGAAAAGGTTACCCCATAGTTTTCTCTTAAATTGGTGGTCAGTTAAAAGAATATCCCTACATTGTTGGTCAAAGGGTAGAATGCTCCTTAAATTGGTGCTCCGTGGTGATATTGTTCCTTAAATTGGTGGTCAATGGAAAGAATGCCCCTGAAATTGGATCCATCCTGTCAGCATATGAGTACGGACACCCGCACACGTACGGACGTGCAGGTCGGGTGAGCGTAGGGCGGCGTACAGCCGTGTACCCCCATAGAGAAGGACAGGTGCTGCGTACTAATCACACGCGGCACCTGTCCTTCCCGGGAGCTGTCCGTTACGGCCGTACACGCAGCACGGAGCTGTACGTGCCAGCTTTTTCTCGTGTCAATGAGGCCTAAAAAACGTAATTGCAAGATATAGGCAGGTAGTTGGAAAGTTAGTAAAGTTATCCAGGGCTTATACAGTAGGCTAGATTTATTTGTATACCAAATGAGATATAAAAAAATCACAGATCTTCATACACAAGAGAATGATGCTCATGTATAAAAACTAAAGGAATAAGTGTGTGTAGTCCATGGCAACCTGTTAGCATGCAGAGATTATTTCTGTACAGCAGGTGACAAAAGTAAGTATACAACAGTGTGCTTTCCACATGGTTTCTTGCAGATATTATAAATTATAATCAATGCCATCAAATTGACAAAATTAAACGCCAATTTTCAGACAGAATTTCTACAGAGATGTCATTTATAAGAAAAATTGAGTCTCACCTAGCTTCAGGGAGCAGGAAGGCGTACTCGTGGGGGGATGTGGTCTCCGGAAAGTTAGAAAGAATGGCAAGGCGATGAGGAAGCAGATCAGAGCCGTGGAAGGTGAACAGAAGATCCAAGGCCTGTACATTGCTTTCCTGCAACAACAACACAGAGACATTGTTATAACACATATTACCATATATAATACAATATAAAACATAACGTCAGCATATCTTCAGCTTGCTAGAAACCACACAAACAAATATTGGTCTTGGTGGTGTTGACCTTTGAAGTGGCCATTGCATCAGATATATGCTTTCATGTTAAATGCAAGCATGCCAAATCATCTAGAACAGTGGTTCTCAACCTGTATAACCTCAGGACCCACATTTGTCCTTGGTCATTAAGTTGCGACCACACTGGAATGCCCGGCAACGCAGTACCGCATGTTCCGGTGCAATCAAACTATGGGCAGGAGGTGTGTTTAGGGTGCCATTTAAATGAATTGCAACGCAGCACACCACCAGCAATTCCCCCACCAGAATGAACAGTAGGTGCAATTGCGTGGTAGTTGTAGCCATAAGGGCACACAAGGGAACTGTAAGCAATGCATGTATGGATGGAGCTGCCTCACGGACATACCCCCAGCCCACCCCACCCCAAGCTGACACTCAGCACCGGGCAGCATATTTTGAATGGCTGCTCGGCAGGAGAACTGACAGTGCTGCACTATGGGGGAGGCTGAGGAGCCTCTCTCCTAGTGCAGTGGAATGCATGCCGCGACCCACTGAACATGGGGTCGCGACCCACCTTTGGGTCACGACCCACCAGTTGAGAACCACTGATCTAGAAGATCTAGAAGGATGGCACTATCTTTGTGCAGGCATTATATAGGATCAGCATCTAGTTCCTGGACTGACATGGTGGCTCAGAGATGACGCAATCTTTTTTTTGGTAAAATTAGGTACCTCGGCTTATATTCGGGACGGCTTATACTCGAGTATATACGGTACTGGTGTATTCCATTTGTTGCCTATTTTAAAAATTTCTGAAGTAAACACTACTCTTCTGAAGTGGACCTTTCAGTAGCTTTATAAGTAAGGATGCACTGATACCGATACTAGTATTGCTACCGATACCTAGTATTTTGGCGCGTACTCGTACTTGCGCAAATGCTCAGATACTTAGCTCTGATACCGGAACAGTGCCGAGGGAGCATGGAGCCGGCTTCTTTTCAGGAAGCCGGGCGGTGAGTTATGACTAGGGATGCACCGATACTAGTATCGATATCGGTGCCGATTCCGAGTATTTGGGCAAGTACTCGTACTCGCCCAAATGCTCCGATGCCTAGCACGAGTACTTCCGGTATCAGGAAGCCGGGCAGCGCGTCATTACACGCTGCACGGTTTCGCGATTGACCGGAAGCTGGCCTCGTGAGGTAAGGTTACCTTACCTTAGTATGTGCAGCCTGTCATCCCCCGGGGCCTCTCCAGCGAGAATGCGGCCTTCGTCCGGTACCCGGTTCATGCTCCCTCGTCATCTCATGACAAGAGAGCATGGAGCCGGCCTCCCGGCCAATCAGAAAGCAGGGCGTCGCATCATTAGACGGCGCCCGGCTTCCTGACTGGCCGGCTAGACGGCTCCGGCTGGGTACCGGACGAAGGATGCGTTCTCGCTGGAGAGGCCCCGGGGGATGACAGGCTGCACATAATAAGGTAAGAGGGGACTTTTTTGTTAATCGGGAAGCCGGGTGGCGACTCTTTACACGCTGTCTGGCTTCCTGGCTAATCAGGAAGCCAGGTGGCGAGTCATTACACGCCTCCTGGCTTCCTGAATGGGACTTCCGTTACTCGGCAATCGGAATCGGAGAGTACCGATAAAAAATTATCGGTACTCGGTACCAAAATATCGGTATCGGTGCATCCCTAGTTATGACCTGCCTCCAGGCTTACTGATTGGCTCGGAAGCCGGCTTCACTTATTGCGAGGCAGCCTGGCTTCCTAACTAGTTAGGAAGCCAGGTGGCACGTAATGACCTGCCTCCCGGCTTCCTGATTGGTCAGGAAGACAGACTGCCTAGGAACAAGTGAAGCCGGCTTCCCAGCAAATCAAGAAGCTGGGAGGCAGGTCATGATGTGCTGCTTGGCTTCCTGATTGGCTAGGAAGCCAGCTTCACTTGTTGGTAGGTAGCCTGGCTCTCTAACCAATCAGGAAGCCGGGTAGCATGTCAGGACTCGCCTCTGAGCTTCCTGACTGATCAGGAAGCCAGGCAGCCTGGGCAACTGAAGCTGGTGTTCTTTCGATAGAACACCGGCTTCCTAGGTAATCAGGAAGCCAGGCAACGGGTCATGATCCGCTGCACGACTTCCTGATAATCGGGGCACAAAATATCGGTACTCGTACTCGATACCGAAAAACCGGTATTGGTGTATCCCTATTTATAGGTCTACAAGAATATATCCCTGTCATGTCCCAACATACAGCAACAGTAAATTTTTGAAAAAGTTCCATCTTTCTTCACTAACAAGCATTCCATACGCTCCAGTCCAGTGACTTTGCATAGGTGATGATGACATCAATAGTCTGCTGCAAGCAGGGGGAAGCATTTTCTCAGTCTCCTCTCCGCAAATGATCAAACACTGTAACTTAGCAGCAAGACACAAGGTGAGAGGCTGCAGTGGGGGCAAATCTGTGCCCAACATTGGTGCAAACAGCTAACAACAGCACAACCAGGATTTCCATGACTGCTTCGTCTCTGAGCCGTGATCCAAGTCCAGGAAATAAATAGCGTACTTGATTCATGCATGGACAAAGATGGCGCTGTCTTTCCGAACACGAAACAGATATAGGCATTGTCAGGGGGGAGTATTTTGCTACATGGGAAAGCAATGGAATACCTAGAAGTGTTATACTCACAAATTACTCGGAATAATACATGATGCTAGGTCAGTTTAAAATCTAAAAGGTAAAGGGTTGCTGTAAACTCCTAACATAAATTTATTCATGTAGCCTATTAAAGTTAATGAGGAGCCCAAAGGTACATAGGAGTAATTTACATTAGTAGAACTATAGCATCCCATTAAAAAGATATGTGCTGCAGCAGGTAATTGTGAGTACATCTGCATGTACAGCTCTCCCTAAGTCCCCTTGCAAAGTCTCAGAAATACCTGTTGAGCCTGCCACCTGAATTCACCTCATGCAGCTTCCTGTGATGGGGTGAGAACACTTCTGCACTGCTCCTGAATTCAGAACAGCATTGTCACCCTCATATAGAGTATTTGCACTACAGTGGGATGAGAAAATGTTGCATGGGGCATGGCTATCAGCATCGTCACCCTCATATAGAGTACTTGCAGTACAGTGGGATGAGAAAATGTTGCATGGGGCATGGCTATCAGCATTATCCCTGCAGATTTATAATCTTGTAGCCTGTCAGTCAGCAGCTGGCCACACCCAATCCTGCCCACTGCTTTCTGGATTGACAGCTCAGCAAAATGCACATGGAAGGGCTTTGAACAGAACAACAGCAAAGGCTGGTGAGTGTGCTGGGAAACTTTTTGCCGTTGTACTGTTTAAAGCCCTTCCATGTGCACTACACTGTACCCAGCGGCCTTGGGGTGAGGTGGTACCCCTGGTTCCCTGACAATCTTTAACCTTAGCGGTTAGACAGGTTTTTTTTTTTGCCAGCTGGCTGGTGAGTGTGCTGGGAAACATTTTGCTGTTGTACTTAAGCAAATACCATTGGCATACAGTACATCTAGAAAGTGTTTAAAAAGCTAATGACATGCAAGAGCATAAAATAGCTGCAATGACACTGCAGTGAAAACAATAACACTCTGCGCCCTTAGATGATAAGCATATTAGCAAAAACAAAGGCAGATGGAGAAGAACATTTGTCACTGTGCTCAGGATCACGCTCCTCCACATCTAGTTAGAAAAAGGATTACTTAATTGTGGATTAGTATTGACAGGATCATCTTACTATACAGAGTTCAAAGCACACTGGGTTTTAACGCGGAGTTAACTAACTGCAACAGATTATAAATGATAATGGAGGTGAAAGGCGGCGTGCTTAAAGAGGAATCAATTCCGCCTTTATTGTTCTGACTTTGTAACATTACCCGAGCATATGTTCTTGCTGACAGCACGATATTTTGGTTTCTAAACTTCTTGAAGAAGTCGGCGTCGTATCTCCTCTCCGCTGCCTCAGGCCCCCCGAGGATCTCCTGCAGGACGAAGGAGCAGATGTTAGAGAAATCCTTCGGAACACAGTAACGGAGCGCATTATGAATGGATAATTCAAGACTATTTATCAGAGGCTTGTCACGTTCTGTAGCATTAAGGAGCCAGTAAACCTGAAATGCATTTTTTTTCCCCTTTTAAAGGAAACCTGTGCAGAGAGAATATGATGGGCTGTCATGGCCATTACCGGCATCTCCTTCTGAAAATTGTATTTGTCTGGCTGTCATGCTTATTGAATGGATCAATGTTGCTATAATATGATTCAGCATGTGTTAAATGCTTTAACATGCTAGCTTCATAGATCAGAAGTCGTTTACATTCCCTTCGTGGTTTTTTTTTTGTGTGGTTTGTTCCGGGTATGCCTAGTTTAGTTTTTGTACATGAAACAACCTTTTTAGTGTTGCGGTTGGAATTTATTGGTTTGTGAATTTATTTTCCTCATTTATGTGTATGTATATTTTCTGTAAATTATTTGGTTTAATTTTTTCCCTTTTTTATATTGATCTATAATTTTTTACTGGATTTTTATTTTATTTTTCACATTTTTGATGTCTGTCGTAACATTCTGATGGAGGGTCACTATATTCTTGAAGCGAGCGATCTGCTTTCACTGCGAATATTTGATTAGAATTGCATGCCAACCACAGACTTCAGTTTTTCAAATACTTTGTCAATGTTTGTTAAAGAACAACTCCGGGAAAACATTATATTAAACCTTGCTGTTGGGCTATCCATGCACTGCAAAGGTTTACTGCTTGTGGTCATCTAGGGACAAAAATAAAAAAGTTATATTCACCTTATCCTCATAGCCTGTTTGCTCTAAAACCAGTCCCTCTGGCGGCTCTCCCCTTCTGCTGCAGCGGTCTAAGGTCCCTGAGTCATCCGGTTCTGTGTATAGGATGTGAGGATGCAAAGGGACATTGCAGTATCGTAGAAGAAGAGGCTAGAGGGAGCACTGTAACAGCCGGCTGGCCCTGAAGTTTGAGTGAGTGTAACTTTTTTATTTTAGTCCCGAGATGAAATCCAGCAATATGAACAAATACAAATTTTTCCCAAAGTTGTTCTTGAAAGCCGCTTACCACAGACTGACACTCAAACCTTCACACACTTTCTTTTCAACCATATTTCTTGTGGCCACTTCTCTTACCTCATATGTAGACAGGCGATCTAGGTATGTCAGTAACTTTAGCCTACAACGGCAGATCTCCTTCTGTTCAAGTGTTAGGCTGTAAGAAAAATGCCTGAAATTAAATGCTAAAAACAAAGAGTGTAGTCTTTAACTTTTATTAAAGTGACAAACTCAGGGGTTAAATCTTAACAATACATCCAAGTACACTAACTATTAACAACAATGTATCTTATTTGTGTATCACTCGGCTGTAGATCCTCAAATCGTCTCTGAATGTGTGCTGACACTGTCCTTCCTTCTGGAGGGGGGCTACTTTGTTCCCCATGGTCCCTGTGTGTGTTGTAGCCACCGCTCCAAGCTCCCTATGTGATAGCACATTGGAGGTGACAGGTTCTCTTTAAGGTGATATTAGGGGTCTATTAGCTGGGGCATGACAGCTGCCAGTGGCATAATATCGCAGCCGGCAGCTGATTATAAACACTGCAGGCAGTGGGCAAGTGCAACAACCAACCTGCTAGTGGCTATTTCAAAGTGCAATAGCAGGCTGGCTATTGCACCCGGCCACTGGCTGCTGTCAAATCAGCAGAGGAGGGACCAATGTAGACTCACAGCAGCGTTGACTGACAGCTCGTTCCTCCTCCCCCCCCGGGGTCTGGCTGCAGTGGTCCATGTCCCCACCGATCCCTGCTAACTCTGCTGATACAAGCGGGGGAAACAGTGGGCAATGGAGTGGACACAAACCACAGCATGCAACAGGCTCCCAGCAGGGAGGAAAGAGCTGCAGAGCGGTGGTGGGTGGGGGGTGGTGGTTAGGGGGAGCTCTCCTCACCACCGGGATTGTAAAAGGGGACGAGCAGGGATTGTAAAAGACACAACGCCAATGAGACACCGGCTACCAGTGTGAAGGAGAGAACCAGGGGATCTACACCTACTAATTGATAAGGAAAATAGTTGACAACAATTCTCATTAACAATTAATATCGATTAACTGATTAGTTGGTTGTAGCCCTAATTAAAACAAATCTCCAGCTTTTTATTCTATTACATATACTGAAAGGATTTAACAAAATGTTTTTGAAGAATCTTACCTTCCCCGTAGGATATTGAAATAATAAGCAGCAAGTGGTCATCAAACAGTTATACATTTGGAAATACTGTCAAATATCTCATTGCCAATAAAGTATATCTATAGCCAAAACCTTTTACTTATTTTTTTGGATCGTATGGGGAAGAGAAATAACCAGTCAGGTCTTACTGACTGCTATCCAGAGCTCTGTTACCTAAACTTTGACAATGTATTCACATGTGTATACCGGTGAAATCATTTCCAGTGTTTGTAATAAATAATAATACAAAAGCAGTGCACTCACTTGTCAAAATCCACCAGCTGAAGAAGGTCTTTCCTCCTCTGGTCTTCTTTCTCTTTTCTGTATTCTGCTTCTTCTTCTGGAGAAAGGAAGTCTTCATATGCAACATCATCAATGTCTATATCCCCAGGTATAATAAATCTGACAAAAAAGGCAAGCATACCAGTCATAAGAATAAACAGTGCGGCTACAAAACAAATAATAACTATTAGTACTATTTTTTTTAAGTTGCTATATTTTTATGCTGGTATTTTATACCTCAATTGAACAAATTTTATAAAATGATTATGCAAAAAAGGGTACACCCATAACACAGGATTAACAAAGCATTGTGGGGATTCTAAAGAGAAAACATGTCAGAGGTTGTTTTCTTTCAGACTCTCTCTCTCCTTGAGTCTGAAGCATTGAAAGAAGACCTATATGAAACTGCCATCATTTTTGTATTTACCATAGCAAAATAATGACCTATAAATATAATTGTCTTGCACATGCTGATGATCCTCTTTTCCTCCTCCTCTATTATTGCACCATCATATTGAATAGTAGACACCATAGGTGACGAGTAGGCTTCTTCTTCAACATTTTTGCTGCCAGCCCACCGATGATGTCAGTGCCAAATCTCACCCATGCGCTGTATGAGATCTGCAGTTTTGTTACTGCTTCTATGTAAGCAGCATTACACTAGCCAGCATTCACGTCGCTGAAGCCTTGGCAACATATAAACATTAAGAAAACAAATAAATCTTCTCCCTTCCCTGAGATCACATGAGATTTTGTGAAATTTTGCAATATCTCGCAGTTTACAGTCAAGATCTCCCTAGAAGGCACTGGTGACGCAGCCTTCCCAGGGTGCAGCTGTGTGATGCCCAGGCTACATCACCAGTGCCTCAAAAGACCAGGAAGTGTAATTCAACTACATATGAGTAACAGGATTAACCTTAGATTTTACAAATAGCTTGCTGATGTTTTTGGGATCGCATGCAGAGATGCATGCACCCTGTTATTTCACAGTTCGGGG